CGTCAGCACTGGGATGAAAGGGCTATAAAACCAACACAGCGCCGGAGACTGTATGAAAATATATATCGTGATGTGTCAGGAGTACCTGGCGCGCCTTTAACCTCAACTTCAGATGAACCAACACGCCTCGGAGCACATTTATATGCAAAGGCATATAATATGTCCCCTGTATCTAATTATCTGTCAACCTGAGGCAGTTTGTTTTCCAAATCGGCCTCTCGGCTGTGACTTTACGAGGTCATAAAGAAAGCGATGCCACTCGGCGCCGAAACGCGAGGAGCGCCTGGATCAACAAATTATGCTCCTTAATGGTGTCTCTCGGCCTGAGACACGGAAGGCAGGAAGAAAGGAGCCACAGTCCGGGGTCTTACACCCTGCCCTCCACCCAAGAAAGAAGGAAGGGGCTCAGGGGGCGGGAGGCAGGCTGGGGAGATCCCAGAGCATCAGGGAGCGGGAGCCTGGGAAGGGCGCAGGGCGAGCTGGACCAGAAGTGATGTGATTCTCCCGCTCCGCTGTCCTCTGCTCTCGGCGGTTCCTCCTGTGCAAAGTCCATCTGCAGAGTTGTCAGCCAGGAAATGAAGCTGACCAGGGTGCTTCTGCAGCCCTGCACCACCGCTGACCATTTACTTCACCCTTAGCCTAGAGCATCATTAGTGCCTGAGATCCCAAGGATCTGTGGGTCCACAGGGGAGCACTCTAGCCCACCCAGGTGACAACTCCTGCCTGCACAAACACAGACACCGACTCTGTTTCCACGAGTACTTTGGCCGGATGGTACTTTGTTCACCATTGCATTTGGGAGAAGAAGACAAGTGAGTCTTTTCAACTCCAGAGCAAGAGGAGAAAATTCCTTCTCCCAAAACAGGGAAGGTGAGGGGGGTGGGCAGCAGCAGGGATGCTATTGTGCTGAATGGAGGGCTGAGTCTGTCTCTTTCCTACCAAGCTCAGCATCGCATGCGTGCACACACACACACATGCATACACGCCTCTAAAGGGCGGAGGAGTGGGCCCCTCACACAGTCTTCAGCCCCTATTAGTCCTCCTCTGATCTTCAGCAGATTAATTAGGACGTTTGTCAGGAACCAGCCGTGACCTCCAGCCGCTCCTCTCTGGGAGTGGTAACGGTGCCAGCAAAAGCTAAGCTGCAGGAATTCCTGTACCCACGCTGCTCCTATGATTAATGATAGAAAGGAAGGAAAAAAGGGGGTCAGCAGCTGAGTGCAAAGCAAGTTGCTAGACAGGGAGTAATTAAGATACTTGGGTAAATATGATTAATAAGCTCAAACTGGCAGGGTGTGCGGTAAACAAGGACTAACCAGATGGTCCCCTCTTCTGACAAGGCTGGGCACTTGGAAACAGGGGGGAGGGGCGGCTCAGGAGGCAGAGAGGGCAACTTGAAAGGCGCAATGGAAACTTGACTTTTTTTCGCTGACCCCATGGAGAGGGAAAGGTGGGAGCCCTGGGGAGGGATTAGGACAAGGACGGGGGGAGGCTTGGAGATTTCACCCATCCTCTTATCACAGGCACCAGACAAATTGCTGAGTGTAAAAGGATTCCTGTTCAGACATCAAGGCCACATCATCCAGAGGGACTCCCGCCCCTACTCTCTCTCTGTCTCCTTCTCTCATTTCGCTGCTCGCTAAGGTTTAGACAAGACATAGGATGCACAGGTTACTGTTACTGTGTTCATTTGCAAGCTGGCTTAAACAGCAAGATGGATTGTCTCCCCTTTCTGGAGGCCAGAGTCCAAGATCAAGGTGCCGGCAGGGTTAGTCTGTTCTGAAGGCTGGAAGGGGAGATTTGTCCCGCGCCTCACCCCTAGTTTCCAGCAGTTTGCTGGCAATCTCTGGTGCTCCAGTAATTGTAGACAGATGTCTCCCATCTCTGCCTTCATGTTCATAGGACTTTCTCTGTCTGCGCCCGTGTATGTGAGTCTGTCTGTCTGTCTCAGTCCAGATTTTCCCTTTTCAGAAGTACACCAGTCATCTGGGGTCAGCGACCTCTCAATGACTTCATCTTAACTCATTATGTCTGCAAAGACCCTCTTTCCAAATAAGATTACGTTCTGAGGTACTAGGGGCTAGGAACTTCAGCATAGGGATTTGCCGGCACACGATTTGACCCATAACAGCCATTTATCAGGTTGCAGAGCAACCCAGGAAACAAAAGCTCACTCAGAAGAGACCTGAGCCAAGAAAACGTATGCTGTCACGCACTGTTTAGAAGAGGGACATGGCCTGGACTCTCATTTCTCTGCACCCTGTCTGCCTAAAAATATGCCTCCTTTGAGTCTTAACAGTGTCTTGGAAAGCACTTCTCTCTCTGTGCAATGTCAAGGAGACAGTCTAATGCTTCCAGAGATGAAGCTGAGAAATAGCCATAGGTAGGAGTTACCAAGGACACTGGTTAACAGGGAATACCTACAAGCCCTAAAAGAGAAGACATGGAGGGCTGGCCACTAAATAGCAGAAAGATGCCAAGATAACTCCATCTATAGACATGGGCAGCAATGGTACATCCAGGGTAAAAACAAGACACAGAGAGATGAAAGAAATATAGGACTAGTCCCCGAACTAAAGGAGCTTACAGCTTGGATTCCTCAATTTGTTTCCTATGGTAGCTGTAATAAATCCTGACTGTAATAAATCACAAATATGGTGGCTTACTTTAAAACCGATATTTATTCCCTCCCAATTCTGGAACTTAGAAGTCCAAACTGGGTACCACTGGGCTGAAATCCAGATGTCGGCAGCACCATGCTCCCTCCAGAGGTTCTAGGGGAGAATCGATGCCTTACCAATTTCCAACTTCTGGTGGCCCTGCCATTCCTTGGCTTGTGACCACATCACTCTAATCTTCAAGGCCAGTATCTGCCAGTCTTCCCCGGCTCGATTTCCACATCTCCTTCTCTGTGTGTAAAACCTCTGTCTCCCCATCCCTATTCACAAGGATACATGTGCTTTCATTTAGAACCCACCTGGATAATGCAGGACAGTCTCCTCATCGCAAGATCATTCATTTAATCACATTTGCCAAGCTCCGCCCACCCCCCTTTAATTTTCCAAATAAGGTCACTTGCACTGGTTCAAGGATTAGGAAGTGGATGTCTTTCAAGGCCAGTTTTCAGCTGCCCACACGACTCCCCTGGGATTTGCCTTCTCTAATCACTTTTCTCAGCTGGTCTATGTAGAGCTAGGGGACCTGGTCTCCTCCCCCATCTTGCAGATAACGAGTCGGGTGTGTGTGGCAAAGCGTACTTCTTCACAGAAAGTCAAAAATCAGGCTTAGGAGAGGAGTCACCGAGTACTTAATCATCCTATAAATCAGTTCCCTGTCTTTGTATATCACAGACCTAATAAAAGCATATTTTTAAAGGGGGTGTTAGAAATGTCTGGGTTGTCAATTTTTTATTTGGCCATGTTAAGGATATTAATGGGCTTCCCTCACAGCTCAGTCGGTAAAGAATCTGCCTACAATGCAGGAGACCCAGGTTCGATTCCTGGGAAGATCCACTGGAGAAGGAAGCGGCAACCCATCCCAGTATTCTTGCCTGGAGAATCCCATGGACCAAGGAGCCTGGCAGGCTGCAGTCCCCGGGTTCACAAGAGTCAGACACAACTTAGCGACTAAACCACCAGGGATATCAAACAAAAACCCTACCATTATTTCCATTCATAAAGGGGGCTATCTTAATTCTATCAGAGTGAAAGAGACACATCGGAGAGCAAAGTACGGTCCTCCAGAAAAGACAATGGGCAACCTCACATCCTCAACCCCCGACTCCGCCCAGTGCAGTGCCTGAGGCCCTAGCAGTTCACCAAGGACTTAGGTTTGGAAAAACCCTCCTCTGGTCCAAGGATCTCCTTTGAGGGGTGAGACAGCAGAGCTTCTCCCAAGCGAAAAGCCCACGGATGCTGATCTCGCAGGGACCAAGGAGAGGGAAAGAGAGGAGTCTGGTTGTCACATTGGTGCCCCATGAGAAACATTCCCAAGCCCCAGAGGCAAGTGGGGTTCCCGCCAAATCAGGCTGGACCAGAGGAGGAAGTTCTAGAGGACAAGGCATCCAGCCTCCCTCCCGACCTTGGAAAATCATCTCTCAATTGAGAAACTCAGGAAGCCACCCCGGAACACTTCCTGCAGTGTGGTCAGGGTTTTCCCTTTGGAAAGGTACACTTGACGCAAGAGAGGATGACACCCTGCCCGATGAGCCACTTCCTCGTCCCTTTTCTTGTCTTGCCCTGAAAGTAAAGTCATTATAGACAAAAACTGACCGAGGTCATCACAGAGTAATATCTCGGTACAGGCTCTATGCTCAGAATCTTACCCCGCTTGTTTTGTTTTAATGTAGGAAAACATAATGCTTGCCTTATATGACATATGGCGTTGTTGAGATGATTAGATGAAGCAATGTGGGTGAAAGTGTTTTTTAAACTACAGAGTTCTAGCACGCTCCGGTACGGGACACACTCTCTTGATCGCGCTGCTGTATTTCAGTCCGATGGACTCTTTTGTTGCTGGCTGTTGGTCTGCACAGCGCATGGGATCTTAGTTCCCTAACCAGGGATCAAACCTGAGCACCCTGAAGAGGAAGCACAGTTTCTTAACCACTGGACCACCAGGGAAGTCCCTTCATCTTTTTTTTAATGGTGGGCTCTTATAAGCCTCTTTCCTGGAAGTAGTTTTTATGGAGGGAGATGAAGGGGAGGAAAACAAAAGAAACTGGGGTTGGGGTTGAGGAACAGAAAGCCTAGAGCCCTGTTTTCACAATTTTGAAAGACTCAGTCCCAGAGGAGTGGAAGAGATTGACCACTGACTTCCGGAAAGACTCTCTAGGCCTTGGCTTTGTGGGGCCACAACACATGCGCTTTTGCTTTCCAGTGTCATTTTGTTGAGCACCAATAATCCGGCAGGCGCTGTGCCCAGCCCTTCAGTTGTACAAACTGATTTAACCTCACCCACAGTCTGTGAGGGAGGTCCTGTCATTGCCCCCTCTTTCCCAGGTGCAGCAAGCAAGCCTTCAAGACCCGCAGGGTCACACGGCAAGTGAGCCAGGAGCCGAACCTGTCAACCTGGAGAGCCCACCGTGCTCGGTGAGATGCTTTTCCTCCTGCCCTCTGTCCTGAATCTTCCAGAAGCAATTTTCTCCCTTCTCCTTCTTTGTTTCCATCTTCCTATAAAACTCACTGTGACACTTCACACAAAGAGCCACGTATACAAATCAATTGCAATCAGCCGTATTTCTCTCCTGATGTTAAAAGACTCGTAAAGGAAAACGCACTTGTTTCAAACACCCTTTTCTGACACTAAATCAACCCTCGACACTTGGTGGAGTTTCTGCACAAATTGAACGGGGCCCTCCCGAGACTGGGGTTTACCAGAATAAATCCCAGGCTCGCAGCGGCTGTCTAGTCGTATTAACAGGAAGAGTTGATCGGGTGGCTGAGTTTTCTGGGGGTCCTGACTTCTAGCTCAGGTCAGAAGGACATTCGGAAGCTCGCTGGCCAGCGTGTGATGTGAAGGTTGACAGGGACACTGTGGCGGGGGTGTGGTCAGAACCCTTCATACCTGCATCCCACGGAAATCTCAACCAGAATTACTGTCTTCTGCAAAAACATCCAGGCTTCCTCATACTAATTTGCATAGGAATAATGGTTCTCGGGGGATTCTCAACAAATCTATTTGACCCCAAAACTTTGCATCTTTGATTGCCTTTAGATATGCTATGACTTACAGAAACTTCCAGAGCCCCAGGGATGCTGGTTAACTTCCCCTGAACACACCACAAACTTTCTAATTACCTCAGTTTCTCTTACCTCTTGGGCTTTCCTGGTGGCTCAGATGGTAAAGCATCTGCCTGCAATGCGGGAGACCTGGGTTCGATCCCTGGGTTGGAAGATCCCCTGGAGAAGGAAATGGCAACCCACTCCAGTATTCTTGCCTGGAGAATCCCATGGGCAGAGGAGCCTGGTGGGCTACAGTCCATGGGGTCGCAAAGAGTCAGACAGGACTGAGCGAATTCACTTCACTTCACTGGTTCACTGGTTCTCTTACTTCTATCAGCCCTTTGCCTCAGTCTCCTCATTCATCCAGTGGGGATACTAAGGCCTTCTCTAGTTCATAGAATGTAAATCAGAGAGTTTGATGTGTCTCCAGAAACTTTTTGTTTTGAATCAGGTCATGATGGTCATCACGTTACAGAGTGTGTGGGTTTCCCCCTGCACTTCAAGGAAGTTCTGTGACGCTGGTTGGCTGTCCAATAGTACAGCTCGGTTCTGACACTGTGGACCCGAGACGGATCCCAGAGGGAAAGGGCTCCATCCCATGAACCTGTTTCCCTGCCATGCCCACAATCCAGATGTCAATTACAAGTCCAACTTGTGACCTGGGCTCCTGACCAACTGGCAACAGATTAGAGGGTCCAACAGGCCCCACCTGGGATTCGATGACTTAGCTAGAGCGGCTCACAGAACTCCAAGAAACATTTTACTTACTAGAGCACCAGATTATTAGCAGATGATATAAGGGGAACAGCCCCCATGGAAGAGGCGCATCGGGCAAGGTATGGAAAAAGAGCGCAGAGCTTCCATGCTCTCTTGGGGTGCCCCTACTCTCCCCACATCTCCACATGTTCACCAGCCCAGAAGCTCTCCAAATCCACCCTTCTCGATTTTTATAGCGGCTTCACCATGTAGGCATGATTCATCATATCACTGGCCACTGGTGACTGAACTCAAACTCCAGCCCCTCTTCCCTCCCCAGAGGTTGGGGGGCTGAAAGCCCCAACCCTCCAGTCACGTGATTAGTCACCCTGGCAACCAGCCCCCACTCCGAGGTGCTTTCCAAAAGTCACCTTATTAATATATAACAAATTCTCAAGGTTTTAGGAGCTCTGTGCCAGGAAGATGAAATATATATTTCATTTTTTAAAAAAACAATTGATAGTTTACTTTTATTTATTTTTTTTTTTTGGCTTTGCCACGCAGTTTGTGGGATCTTAGTTCCCCAACCAGGTATTGAACTCAGGTCCTGTCAGTAAGAGCACCAAATCTTAACCACTGGACTGCCAGAAAATTCCCACATATTTCCTATTATAACTCACAGTGTCACACTGTCCCACTAAAGTCATGGAAATTTTCCTTTTGCCCTTTTGCGCATCCTAACCAACCTTTCTGTCACCCAGTCAGGAGGCAGAGGAGCAAGTGCCATGATCAGATTTGCATTTAGAACCCAAGCTGCCAACTAATTTTATTTCCACATGAACATAAACAAGGTAATGGTAGATGTAATGCAATCAGAAGGAAGCTACTCGATGTGGTTTACATTTCGTGATATACAGCGGTTTTCTGTTTTATTTAAAAATGAAGATGGATGATGTCAGCAAGAGAGCAAAACTGTTAGGAAATTCAAGAATTGGCCTATATTCGTGTTTATTTATTTCAACACCTCAACTTTCCAAAGAGAAAAGGCCACCACTGAAAAGGTTTCTTCTGGTTCCCTGCTGAGCTGTGCAGGCGAGGTTCTGGGCATTTCTGGTGCCCATCCAGAGGTGGGCATGGGTCAAGTCAGAGTGATGCAGTTTAGTGAGTGCAGAATGCCTAGGACACAGCCACCAAGCACTTGGTTTGACCAGCAGGGGCTTTGGGAAGGAGTAGGCTTCAAGGAGTAGTCTGAGAGATCTTGAGGGTCAGGGGATTACCAGGCAGAGAAGGTGGAAACATTCAAAGATGATTCAGCCTTTGACTTCCCTGGTGGTTCAGTGGTTAAGCATCTGCCTTGCAATGTAAGGGACACAGGCTTGATCTCTTGTTCGGGAAGATTCCACAGGCCAGGGAGCAACTGAGCCCATGCGTCACAATTACTTAGCCTGTGTACCACAAAGAAAAATCCGCTTGCCCCAACAAAGGTCCCGTGTGCCACAACTGAGGCCTGACACAGCCAAGTAAAGAAAGAAAGATCTTAAAAAAGAAAAATCAACCTGAGCAGAGAGAATTGTCTAGAGTATGGGGAGGGGGGACTATCACATATGGCAACAGCAGGAACCCTTGACTCCCTCCAAGAACCCTGAAGTTTCCCACCGGGGCAGCGAGTAACACGGCCAGAGGTGCATTTAGAATGTGAGCTCAGCCGTGGTGTGGAGCCTGGTTCCCAGCTGTTCCCGACCCCTTGGCTGTGGTCTACTGGAGGACCCTGGCTAAAGAGCTGTCCCAAGGCCAAGTGCAGGGCTGGATTCCAGAAAATCTTCTAGATAGCACCTTCGCTCGCTGCAAGATAGACGTTACACCTTAATTGCAAGTGTCCCTGAGAACTAAATATTGACTGAGCTTGCATCTTTGTTGGCTCAGAAAAACGCAAGATTTGTAAAACTCACTGCAACCCGTGATTATTCAACATACATTATCTGCTGACTGCTCCAGTGGAGACAGAGGCGTTTCATTGAAGCCAAACGGAGGAGAATCAACAATGGGCCTGTAAATAGATCCCTTTTTAATGAATGTACTGATCTTCTACTTCTAAGCTTATCTATTTTATCCAGATTTGCCCTTATCCTGGAAAGTTCTGCAATGCAACACAGAAAGTTTTAAACCACACTCAATCAACCGGTTATTTTGTCCACAAAAAACAAACCAGGAGACCGGTCGGATGGGAATTCAATGATTTTCTTTTTACATCCATTTTGCTGTTTTGTCATGGCATTGAACAGATAATAAAATTATTGCCTTCCTCATCCAAGCTATTAAAGCAAAGAGCTGGTACTGTCTTAAAAAACGCTCCTCCCCATAGTTCTGCAGGAGGTACCATGGGCTCCTCTGGGAACCACCGAGACACCCAGGACTAGATGGGAGGGAGGCAGTCTGAGATTGAGAGCCAAACTGCAACCCATTGGCATGGCACATATTTTTCCAATATAAAAGCAAATGGAGAACCCGTAAATAAATTGACTGTATAAAAGTGTCCCTTTATATTATGGCCTCACCTTTCCAAGGGGGGAGAAGAAGATTTCTTTTCACGGCCCTCCTATAAAAATATCATTTCTTCGGGGTAATTTTATAGTACCAACAGCAGTCCATATCTATATGAAGTACCTACGCGGCCACCCCCCCGTACCAGCCCCCCTATACAATGATCCAGTAACTAGCATCGCCCACTGCAGAAGCAGCTGTCACGTAATTACAACCTCTCATCACACGTTGGGGAAACCAGTTGTGGCGTTTGGGAAAGGTCTGCAAAACTAGGTGTCAGACCTTAACTAATAGTGATTGTCCTTCCATTCTACTGTAATTTACATTTAATTCACACATTTCATTTCCATTTAAAATATGATTACAGTGTTTTGAAGCACATCTCACCTGTCCCCTCGAATTACAGGGAAATGAAAATAACAGGGAAGGGCAGGCACTGGGAAGGCTGCGGAAGCCCCAGGCTGCAGGGTCTCCAGCTCTAAGCCCTCCCTCCCAGGGATCTGGGGGCGGGAACTGAAGAGAAATGGGGGTGCAGAGGGGAGGTGGAGGGAAGCAGAATGGGGGAGAGAGAGGAGAAGATGTGAGGAGTGGGCGACAGGCCACAGGGAGTGGAATGGGGCAGGACCCGTGGATGAGGTTGGACAGTCCTTCATCAGAGAGCTCCAGCCTGCCTGCTTTGTACATGCATTATTTTCTGGCAGAGTGCCCACCTTCTATTTCATTCGTTCAGGTTCATGACCTAATCCTAAATATGTGCAGCAGGAAGCAGGTGCATGTTGACTCCAAGGTCTGGTTTTCTCTTCTCTGGAGGCAGGAGGATGAGGAGAGGCAAGGGAAAGCCCAAGGTTTCAAGGCACGGATCCAACACCCTTCACAGCACACCCCCGCCCACTGCCATCCTGCATCCGGGCTCCTGCAGCTGTTGGCAGCAGCTGAAAAGAGTTCCGAGGGCTCCAGGTCAGAGGAGCAATTTATAGAAATAAGATTCTTTAGGAATTCAGTGGCCAAGCTCCTTAAGGTATGGCAGAAGACAGGCTGGCCTTAGAGAACGATTTCCAGCCGATGGCACCTGGATTCACAGTGAGATTTTGGAACCTGTTCAGATGCAGAAGGAAGAGTCCTTGGCCATC